GTACCACAACGTCATACTCCCAATTCCAGGAAAGAACTTGTTTGGTTTTTCTAGGGGTTACAGATCTAGATATGCTTGCAACAGCAAGGCTAAATATTTTTGTCAATATTTCTGTGTTCCCAACGCTGGCACCAAAAAATGTAACAGAGCTCATTATTTTTCTATGTCACCACTGGGGATCGAACCCAGCACCTCTGCTTTTCTAGTCTGATGCTCTACATAATACCTGAATTCTCACTACTGATTCATACGGAAGTGACTGGTAAATTTTACTAGGGTGACATTTCTAATCCTTTCACTACTGTAGACCATAATGGACTCATCCAGATGAATGTATAGTAGAGTCTACTTAAGTTACTTAGGGGTGAAAGGGTTAAGAAAATCAAGATCCAAATGTTCTGCCTCCAGCTTCACTGATGAGATTTTGTTTTATCAAAAGATGCAGGTCTGCTATAGGAAAGTTGGTATTTCTGTTGTTTAATTACCTAAATCAAAGGTAGACATCTACTTTGTACGTAATCAGTTTAGGACAGCTGGTTCAAGAAATTCTTCGACTCAAGCAGTACATTATGTAAATGACAGGTTCAAGTTTCTGTATACCTTCCCGATCGGATCAGAAGTACGTAAAATCCATCAATTATATTGCTCAACCATGTGTCATGAAATGATCCTTCAGGGATAGAAATGTACATCTTGTATTTATGATTTGTTTCATGTAGGGATCAGTCTTTAATTTACAAGATATTTTCTAAATTTCTGTTAATTATTTCAACCAGTCTACAGACTCATGATCATGAGCCTATTTTCAGGCTAATTCTTGAGCTAACATGAGCATTTATCATAAGTGGTGATTGGGGATTTTCTCAAAACCTATTTTGATTCTGTCATCCAATTATGTATTTATAGAGGACATTTTAATTAAGAAGTCATATTTGTTTATGCCAGATTTCTGAATATGTCAATAATGCATTTAAGTGCATTTTACTGAAATTAAATTGGAGAGCCCTACCCCATCTTTACTTTATATATGGATAAGAATATTATCCTCCTTATTTCTTCAAAGACAATTACAGTTTACAGGCCTTTTTAGGGAATATTTAGAAATTATTCCCACTAATATTGCAGAAGAATATTAATACAGTGTTAATCAAAGATCATGGTCAGTAGTTCAAAGAATAAATCTTTATAATCATCAGGCCCGAAGGTCAAATCCCCATGGTGGAGCCCAGACGTGTTGGAGATGAAAAAAAAAAATTCTTTTGAATATATAACTATTTGCAACAACAAATAGAGAAACAGATCTTAAGTTAAAATGCCTTACACATTGGAACTCTTCTTCATTAGAGATACAAAAAGCACTAGGACTCTCTACCTTAAGTCTTAAGCTTCAAATTATAATAACAGTGTTTCTTTATTGCGAAGCCAGCAATTAAAGCCCAGGAAAATCTAGAGAGAAAAAGTCTGTCACAACTTATCTGAGATCTAAAATACTAATAGAGCTGTCTGAAATATTTCCTGGTTATACTGCCATTATAGAGATCAGCGGGTGTCATTTTAAAATCAAACCTGCACCAGAGTGTGAGAGTCTGACAAGACATATCCATTAAGTCAATCAATACAGATTATAAACCCGGCTTGTATTACATTGATGGGGATATATGTAGCAAGATTTCTAGCAGGCACTGAGCGATATGCAATCACAAGCTATTGTGTGGTGGGCTGTGTGGCGCTAATGAACTACCGACCACTCTGTTGTTCTTTTCCTTCGTTTGTATGACAATGCCACATATTGTGATTTATGCTATACCTGTAACCTTGAGTATCAGCATTTAAGCTTAACTCAATCACCCCTGAAGACACATTTGAACTCTTCCAGTTCAAAGGTTGGTATAGTTCATTATGAAATTTCAGGGATGAAAGAGTTAATATAACTCCTTTCTAGGAACTATAATCTAGTATCCTTAATCCACACTTGTGGCACATGTTCATGTACTTACCTCCATGTGGGGACTATAATAAGCTTACCATCCTAAATCTGCTCTATCATGGTACTTAACCCTCCCTGTGGAGATTATAACCGAGCATCCTTAATCCACTTTTGTGGCACTATACCCTTCCTGTGGGGGGATTATAAGGCAGCATCATCCTCCCTGTGAGGAATGAATGACTTTGCAAACTTAATCCACACTTGTTGTAATACCCTATCTGTGGAGTAATATGACCTATTGTCCTGAAACCTCACACAGTGCACCTGTTAGCCCTATATAGTATAAATAAAATAATCTAAGCTGAAACTGATCAATATTCCCCTTGTGTGCTTTATTGTTCACGATCATTTATTGAAATAGAAAATATGAGTCCGTGTGCTCATGAATATGCATGATCGTATGTTGATTGTATCCGTTTGTTTGAAAATCTATTGTTTAGAATGATAATTTTTGTAGAACTTTGTAAAACATATATTTCATTTAGGTATCATAATATTCAAATGTACATGTATATATATATACACACTGTATATTTATATCAAATCAAAATTAACACAAAATACAATTTTTGATTATATAGACTTTATTGTGCATTTTGTTATGGGTGCATCTTTACATTACAGGTGTCCAAAAATTAATTCGAAAATTTGACTTTACATGCAAATATCTTTATAAGCATTTATTTACATAGTACAATGAATATTGAAGTTAAACAAATACCTCCGGTTGCTGATAGCAAGTTTTACAAGTGTGTCAATATTGCGATTTTTTGGTTTGTGATTGGTAAACGTCCGACTTGTCCCTGTGCTCGTGACCATGGTACTTGTTGTGTCAGATAGAAGATATATGGAAAAAAATAAAATTACAGCATGGCTGAGCTAACCCGTTTATGTCCCACTGTAGAGGGAAAGTCTAACTCAGCCGTCTGATTACTTGTCTTGTTTCGGCAGTATGTATTTACATATTGGTCCACCAGGAATATGTTTATCAAAAATCGGAATCTAGCTTGCCATGCGGATGTCCACAGAAGTTTTGCGTCAGCAGATTTGAGCCATCAGCTGGAGGCTTGCACCGAGACAGCTAGACAGTTGAATCTTGAGTAACTCTTGAACACTGGCAATAGCGCACTGTTCTAAATACATCCTGTGATCAGTCATAATGAGTTTTGGAGAAATGCTTGCCATCATAGATGGCACACATGTGTTACACATGTGAATGTGCATTTTGCACACATGTTGATATATATCATTATTATAATTAGGTAATTACACATGTAAATAGACGAATAATAGAAAAAAATTACCAAGGTGAACTGCAACCTGTATCGCAGCCATGTACATAGACTTTGTATAGTAGGTGGCTTGGAAAGTTGGAATTATATACATATACATGTATATGTGACTGGTTTATATAGTGGAAGTATATAGTTGTGGCAAGCAGTTTGAGCATAGTATGTAGCTGCAGGGCTAGAAATTAAGGGTAGCGCAATAGTCTGAGACTAGTGAAATCAACTGGTGGACTTTTGGTTCCAAAAACCACAAACTCGATATTGACAAGTCAAAATTTGATATTACTTAACCTGTTGAAAAATATTTGGTTAGTGGAATTTGCACATATACTAGCTAGTAAAAATTGGAAACTACTAAAACCACTGACTTCAAAAAAAAGCTGGATCAAGATAACCATTTCCAGTTTTACAGCATCGCCATGCCATGCTATTCACCACATTACTAAATCATTGATGGCCACGGCTAGTGATAGTTTTTGATGTAATGGTTCTTTAATGGTCATTCCAAACTAATTATTCATTGACTAAATCAATGGGAAGTTTAAAATTCAGAGTGAATTGCTTCTTGATTTCCACCTCGGTGCTTAAGTCCTCCCGTTACCCTGGAATATTTGTATTTTAATCCGGTGTTTAGCACCAGTGAGATCTTTAAATGTGTACATATTCAGTTCAGTGCCAGTGAAAAGATGAGAGGCTATTTATGATGGCTATGGAAAAGTCCCGAATAAACTGCAGGCGTATAATACTACCTTGTAAGATATGGTATTTTTACCATTTTAATTTTATAATCCAAACTTTTTTTCATTTTTAACCATTGAACAACATGAGCAATTGGCAACACGAGCCTAGACCTGCACTTTTTATAAAATTTTACACACCATCACATATACACTTCATCTTTCTTTCTCTCTCTTCCCCTAGCCTTCTGTCTCTATCTTTCACATCTCTACCTTTCTCCCTCTTGGCAAATCTCTCAATCCAATAATGGTATTTTTAGGTACTTATATATATGTCAAGGCTGAAATATTTGAAACTTACTCTGTAAATTTTCAACACTATTGCTCAAAAATATATGTACCTGTACACATGTCTTGTTTTAAGACTCATGATATATACAATGTACCAGTTATCTCCCTTGGCACCAATGAAACAGACACTTGCAGGTTTCGGGATTAGAATGATCCTGCTGTATATTGTATGAGGTAAGGAACTAATGTTGAGCTGCCTGCAGAATCAGGGTTTTCTTCTTGGTCGTCTGCTTAGGGGTCTGTTGAAGAAACCAAAATCAATCTTTTGTCCTGATGCAACAAGAAGGATCTCAACCTTTTCGTTATTTTCATGTGCATATGTACAGTTGAAGGTCAATGATTAAAATATACTGTTTACCGGGAAATTTTCGCTGTAGTTTAATTTTTCGCCTTTTTGCCCGCTGTAATGAGGGCGATTATAAAACAATACAGCGAACAGTATCAAACAACATAATTTGCATGATAATTAAATGTGAAAGGCGAAATCAACACTGGGCGAACATGGTTTATTCCTGCGAAGGGCGAAAGTTTAACTGGGTGAAAATTTCCCGTTGTGCAGCAGTTTACATGTACATTATTGAGTTTGTCTTTACAAGTTCAATTTAATAGTAGAGATTAAAGTGTACCGTTAATTTCAAATGCTGTTTTTGAGACTAATGAAGTATTAAAAATAATTGTGTATTTTGTTTATTACAGCTGATAGGAGCAGCCATTCTAGGGTTCTCACTGTGGTTTCTGTTGGATGTTTGGATTAAAGAGTATGTGCAGGCCGCGCCGGAACTATTGGAATATCGTATCTATGTGTACCTGTTCATCGCCGGGGGCAGCTTCATCCTCGTGTTCGGGGTCATTGGCATGATTGGTGCTGTCAAACCAAATGTTGTGTGTCTTGTTGTGGTGAGTATACAACAAAAACATGAGTACCAAACATAATGTTGTGTGTCTTGTTGTGGTGAGTACACAACAAAAACATGAGGACCAAACATAATGTTGTGTCTTGTTGTGGTGAGTATACAACAAGAACATGAGTACCAAACATAATGTTGTGTGTCTTGTGGTGAGTACACAACAAAAACATGAGTACCAAACATAATGTTGTGTGTCTTGTTGTGGTGAGTATACAACAAAAACATGAGTACCAAACATAATGTTGTGGTGAGTATTTAACAAAAACATGAGTACTAAACATAATGTTGTGTTTTGTTGTGGTGAGTATACAACAAAAACATGAGTACCAAACATAATGTTGTGTCTTGTTGTGGTGAGTATACAACAAGAACATAAGTACCAAACATAATGTTGTGTGTCTTGTTGTGGTGAGTACACAACAAAACCATGAGTACCAAACATAATGTTGTGTGTCTTGTTGTGGTGAGTACACAACAAAAATATGAGTACCAAACTAAATAATATGTGTCTTGTTGTGGTGAAAACATGAGTACCAAACTAAATAATATGTATCTTGTTGTGGTGAGTACACAACAAAAACATGAGTACCAAATCAGATGTTATGTGTATTATTGGTTGCGAGTACTAAATGTTATGTGACTTTTGGTTTATAAACTACAGACACAAGTATCAAATGACTTGCTATCATCAATAATTTCTATATAAGGGACAGCTGTTCTCAGGGAGCTGTGATGTCCAATGTTAGACATAACAAAAGCAATACACAAATACAACCCACTTCTAAGATAATTGAATAGAGGCTTAAAGGCGTCATTGGGGGCTGATCATCATAAGCCAGTCGACAATATAGATATAACATGTGGAAACACCTCTTTAGGTAAAGACAACTACATCATGTTTGTTGCTTCAAATTCTTCAGAGAAGCGAGTCTGTGATAATTGAGCTGATTATCTAAGTTCCTGAAGTTAATTAGAGAGGTTAACAATGTATGAAGTGCCGGTTTGTTTGAATTAGTATAATAGCTTTCATCTTTAGGACATTGACTTTGGTCAAAGTAGACAAAAAAGGTCGGTCAGTCGTATGTTCATGACTAGAGTCTTTCACCAGCATGGCCTTGACCTCTGATTCACGGCCAAGTTAAATGGCCGTAGCTAAAACTTGCAATATATCTAGCTTCAAAGTAAAGGCTAAATGACCAGGTGTTCTTCGTTACATTGGTCCGATGTGTATGGATACTGATAGGTAGTGTTTTTCTTTCGGAATGAAAGCTGTTGATTCATATCCTGTACCATTATATACAATGAAATCCATTTCCAAATTCAGAAACTAGTGTGTTGACTTCATCTTGCTATTGGTAGACCAAATTTTGTTTCCAAGTACCTCTTGGGATAGCAAAGTATCTCATATTGAAATCAGGTCTTGTGTTCCACTACATATGTATTTATAGAGTTAAGGCCCTTTGTTCCCTGTGCATCAATTTATTCGAGCCATATCGCATGTTCTCTGTCACATACAAATGCCAAATTTTGTATAGGAGCTGTACCTCTTGGGAAGGCAGAGTACTGCATATTGAAATTAGGTCTTGTGCCGAATTATAAACAAAGTTATGTCCCTTTCTTTACTAAGCATTACTTTTTCTAGGGTATATACATTGTACTGTGTTACCTACATTTTCCAAGTTTTGTATGCTAGGACCTCTTGGGATGGCAGAGTGCTGCTTATTGAAATCAGGTCTTATGCCGCACTAGAAACAGAGTTATGTCCCTTTGTTTACTATCAAACACCTTTTCTGGGTTATCTGTCATATTCTGTGTCACCTACAATTGCCTGATTTTGTGAGTACGACTTTGAATGGCAGAATTTTGTGTATTAAGTCAGGTCTAATGACCCAATATACAGAGTTATGGCCCTTCGTTCAATGATATTGAAAATTGTTCAGAGATTTGGGAGTACAGTACTCAAATATGAAAATGGCATATGAGAATGAATAGCTAAAATATTAATAAATGGTAGGATATATGTATTCTTGTAAAGTTCATTAAAAAATGTTTTTAACTCATTCACCCCTACATATCTAAACTGGACTTGCCCGGTTATTGATTTGGTAAGGTTCAAATGTGACATTAGGGTGAATGAGTTAAGAACATTTTTGGAAAGAAAATCAATTGAATTATTGCTAAAAACCTCCATGTAGATTGCCTAACCTAGGCAAATCTGTAAACCAGTTGGGCTTCTGGAAGAAATATGAAACAATGGACCATTTGGTGATTGTATGTCAGACAGATGTGGTAGGTTTGGGCTAGCATCTCCTGACATTTACAGTACAAGAGACGGGAGTGCTAATGAAGTTTGGATTCTGACTGAAAATCAATCATTTCTTGTAAAATTCATCACAATTACAGTGAGGATGTTACATGAATTACCTTGTCCTATAAGGTATGGACAGCACTTCCTGCTGCAGATATCATTATTACACAAAGAAATGTGTCCATTCTCTTATAAAAAAAAAATCACAGGGTAGAATCAATAAATTGAATTGATTTCTACCCCCGCAGAAACTGAGCAGATTCTCCGTTCCTTTGAATTAGATTAGTCTAATATGAATTGGAGGGTTAACAGGTAGTTGACTGTTAACTATATAAAGGTACTATTTTTGCATGGAAGTTAATTACTTAACCATGTACATGGATATACACAGGGGTAAGTGTAGGGGAGAGGGCACAGAAAAAGGACACATAATAATATACAGCATTTGATAAAGCGCCCCATCTAGCTAACATAAGCCACTCTAAATTTAGCGCTTTACAGTACAAAGATATACAATAAATACAATTAGCATATATACATTAATCTATACAATGTTTGAGGAATTTTCAGAAGCTGCCTTATCAGGTGCTTACTACTAGTCCTATGCCACCTTGCTAATATCTCCCTACATGTGTGTATGCTTGCGTGTGTGCTGGAGATGTAATGTGTTCTGTTCTGTTCCAACGGTATCATTTATAGTGCCACCTCATTTGAATGCTACAGCACAGATACCGCAACATCCACCCCAGACCAATGTATACTCCACAAGGGTTGTTGGAGTTGTGTGGGCAGGAGCAAAACACTTTCTCTGAATATCCATGCGTACTACGACTTCGGGGATCGAACCCCAGCTGCCTGCATGGAAGGTCGCAGTGTTCAACACTCGACCAATACGCCCATACACTTATTTCTATGCTGGCTTATAATTGGCTGTAAGGTTGTAGGTACAGCTGTGTTGTATCATAGAGCAAGCCACTACAGTCAAGCCTGCTCATGCTACCATCTCTATTAAGAGATCACCTGTGTTAGTAGACTTTTTTTTGAATTTTCGAGGGTGGTATCTAAATACAACTTCGATTGTATCTCGTTGCTCAACTCCACTTTCATAGAATGGAGTATGAGATGGTGTGTGCTTGGTATTATCATTTTTGTGCTGTGGTATACAATGGGCATGGCACTATAAATGAGTCTTTGGAAATGCAGACCCACAACAAAGGAAACACCTACACAACCTGCAGCACACATGCAAAAACACACTCCTACTTATGGAGGTAAAATAGAGGGATCACATGGTTAGAGATGCATTTGAGTAAATCTTCCATAATCCCTGATTGTGTTGAATAAATATTTATAATCTGCCTTACTTGAATTTGAAGCATCTTGTAATCGCACAGGGTGTTATATAAATGTATGATTGTACATGTAACAATATCCAGTGATTACCTGTAACTGCTAAGACAGTTAAAGGATATTTGCTGCGTCTCTTCAGTTTATACTGGCAATGGTAAATTAAATATCTATTCAATTTAAAAAAATAAAAAAATATATATATATTTTTAAGCAAAGGTTTTAAGGTCAAGGTCAGGTCAGATGCAGAAAATTTAAAAGCTCTGCTTGTATTACAACAGATTTGATGCGGTTGTGATCCGTATCAGGTTTTCAGATCTTAATGTACTTTATCAGCTATAGAATTTACATGGGTAGAGAAAAAAAAGAGGGTTTTAAAAATAATCAATATGCTGCTGTGATAGCAACAATTAGTGTTACGGAGATATAATTCTGTATACTCCCCATAGTATTTAGCCTCAACAGTCAGCAGCAGGACATAGTGGGGAATTAGTATGGATGATCTCTTCCAAGCTAAATCTCGGCAACCACCAATCGCGAGAGGACATAATTTCTATCATAGATTTACAAAATCAGACCGTTGGCAGGGTAAAGTGTAGGTCACACTGAATATATAATGATTGTGTAGTATGATAAACGGATAAACTTTAACGATGGGCAGACATGACATATGGACATTAAACAAATGCAATCTCGCTACCATTGATCATGGTTGTACAATGTAAA